TTTTTTTTTCTTTTTTTTTTTTTTCCCTTCCTCTTTTTTTCTCTTCCCCGACTTGTCTCAAGTTACACGCGGAAGTGTCGTTACAGGGGAAAAGGCAGAGGGAAAGGGATCCCCATCCTCTGGCCTTGGGGATACACCCTCCAGCGAGGGCCGGGCTTTCCAGGGACCTTCCCCAGGGCCCCATTAATCTCTGTCCTGCTCCCAGCTGGCAGCCTCCTGCCCTCTGCCCTTCCCAGCCCCGTCCCGCCTCCAGCACCTTCTCCTTGGGGCTCCACCTTGTCTCCTGCAGCCAAAGAAGAATCACAGAATCTTCTAGGTTGGAAGGGACTTTAAAGATCATCTTGTCCAACCGTCAACCTAACTTTGCCAAAAAGAGACACCCGCACAACAAACAAGAAGCATCACCATCACTAAACCATACCTCCCAGCACTACATCAACCCGTCTTTTGAACACCTCCAGGGATGGTGCCTCAACTACCTCCCTGGGCAGCCCATTCCAATGTCTGATAACCCTTTCGGTGAAAAAATGTTTCCTAATATCCAGCCTGAACCTCCCCTGGCGTAACTTGAGGCCATTTCCTCTTGTCCTGTCGCCTGTGACTTGAGAGAAGAGACCAACCCCCACCTGTCTACAACCTCCTTTCAGGTAGTTGTAGAGAGCAATAAGGTCTCCCCTCAGCTGGGAGGAATCTGAATTACCAGGTGTAGGTCTCATTCCTCCCGGACCCCCTCCCTCCCATGGCAGGTTGTGCACATTCCCAAAAGCCCCCCACCAGCTGCCCCCACCTTGGGGTGTCCTGTCCAGGGCGATGAGGATCCCAGAGCCCAGCCCTGAAGGAAAAAAGATCCTCCCAGGGGCTGGTTTGAAGCAAACTTTGCTGAAAAGTATTAATCCTGGATTCCTGCAAGTGGATTGCAAACAATGTGGTCCATGTATTGCCTGAAAGGAGCATGTAGGTACTGCCATTTTTATAGATTTAACAGAAATAAGTTTAGTAGTTAGGGTTATAAAGTTTTAATATATTCAGAAACAGCCCTGGGTGACCAGCCTGGCTGGGATAAATCCTGTCCTTGTGGCTGCGGTGACGCAGGGAGGTCTTGTGGCGGTCTGAGGATACCGTCTCCACCCATAAAGACAGGACCATTAGATATTCATTATCTAATCACTAATATAAAGCTGCTTTAATATAACCAAGTGGATGCTTTAATTTGTCACCTTGTTCCCAAGCACATCGCATCTGGCCGTGGGTCTAATCTGGTCACTCAAGGGTTGGGTGACCCTGCCTGCTCTTGCCCCAGGGCCAGCTCTGGCTGCCACCCTCCCTGTCCCCAGCCATCACCCGCAGCCCTGTCCTCCGGGCTCCCTCCATTGGCACATCCTCATGAGCTTGCTCGGTGTAAAATCCTTAATGATTAAAGCGTAAGAACATTATTCCTGGTGCTTACAGAGAGGACTAACAAGTCTATTAGCATCACCAGATTCCTTTCTGCATACATTTGCATACATTTCCTCTCTGCCCATTAGGCTGGCTGCCGTGTTTTCCCTCTCTGCCATCCCAGCACCTGCCACACCGGGCTTCTCCAGCTGGATTTCCAGGCTGGGCTGGAAAACACCCCGCAAAGCTGGGGAGGGCCCTGCCAGCCCCCCAAGCCAGGGGTCAGCGCGGTGGGAGAAGAGCAGGTTAGAGCAAAGGAGAGTGTCTGCAAAGGAGGGATGGGGTAGGGACTGGCTGAAATTGGGTTTCTAGCCACCTGAGTGGAGCTGCCTGGGGTTTCAGCAGGGCTCTGCAAGGCCATGCAGGTGCCGGTGGTGAAAGCCAACGCCCAGAACCTGGTGGCCCAGCAGGTCCCTGGCATCCCAAGTCCTTTCACAGGTGAGCAGAGAGAGGTTGAACCATGGAGCAGGAATGAGAGGTTTTGGGGGAACAAATTTAGGGTCCTCTGTGCTGATAGATCCCCTTCCAAGCCCCTGGGGGTCAATGGCTGGGAGCCCTCATCATCCTCCAGTCCGTCTGCTCCTCTTCACTTGTCCCATCCAGGGACAAAGCCTCCTGTGGAGGGGTAAGACCGTTGTGGCTGGGAAAAGTTTATTCTTTTCATCTTGACCCTTCCCAAGAAGAGCTGATCATCCCAAAGCCGTGGTGTTATCTCCTGCTGTGGCACCAGGGACCACCATGTGAGGTGGCCATCAGAGGGACCGCCATGTGAGGTGGCCATCAGAGAGACTTCACGGGAGCAGCCCAGCCCAGCTCATCCAGCCGCGATGCAGTGGTGGGGCTGGGGTCTCCCAAAGGGACATCCCTGTGCCACGTGTGGAAAGGCCATGGGAAGGCTGCTGGGAGGGCGTGGGGTGCCGGGACCTTTGGAGAAGGACAAACCAGCACAAGAAGTGGGAGCAGGTAAAAATAAACCTTCCCTCCTTGCCACAGCATGAAGTACTTGCACCGGGTATCTCCCTGCCTCCCAAAATAATGCCGGGCGCTGCCACCACCCCACACGGTGATGCTCTCTCCATGCCTCCCGTTTCCATGGTGACCGCAAGGAATGTCGCCAGGGTGACAGGGAGGCGAGCAAGCTGGGATTTGGCATTAAAACCAGGAATTTGGGGTTGTTGAGTTTATTTTTCTTTCTTTTTTTTTTTTTTTTTTTCCCTTTAGTTCTATTTTTGGGTTTCCCTCTCTGCCTCTGCAGCTCTGGGAGGCTCCTTCTCCTGCAGAGCCCCTGGGCCAGGCAGCAGCAGCAGCTCCATTGAGGGCCTTTCCCACCTCTGCCTGTCCTGCAAGATGATGGCAGTGGTGTGAGAAGATGGGAGAAGGGTGTTTCCTTCTCACTACTTTCCTGCTACCAGGAGGGCTTCTCTGCTTTTGTCCCTGGAGGTTCTTGGCTGGGAGTCCTCCTCCATTTCTGCTGCAGGCTGTGGCTCAGGCCACATCCAGAGGGTGGGCAGCTCCCAGGATTCATCCCGGAGCAGGCCCAGAGAGGGAAGTGATTCAGAATTCCCAGAGAGTCTGGGGAACATGGTGAGGTTGAGCACTGTGGGTCATCTCCATCTCTCACCACCTTTGCTCCTGGGACCTGGACAGTTCAGCCAGGGAAGTCCTGGAGCGCTGGGGTCAGAGATGGGATGGCTGGAGGAGGATGGCAGAGGGAGTCTGGTAGGTGCTAAGGAGTCCAAAACTGTACTATCTGGTTTAAACATAGGGCTCAAGGGCTTGTGCTGGCTTAGCTGATGTTGCAGGAAAGCAGGACCATATGTGCCCAAGCAGGGGCTGTTGGCATGGGGGTTGCAGTTGTCTTCACGCCCTGACAGGAGAGGGGTCAAGCAGTGCTTGCTCACCTTCCCTGGAGCTCCTGCTTCCCCTTCCATCCTCCATCCCTCTCCATCCATCCCTCCATCCATCCATTCATCTATCCATCCATCCATCCATCTGAACTTCCATCCACCTCTCTACCCCTCTGCCCATCCCTGCAAACATTCCTCCATCCATCCCTCCATCCATCCATTCATCTATCCATCCATCCATCCATCTGAACTTCCATCCACCTCTCTACCCCTCTGCCCATCCCTGCAAACATTCCTCCATCCATCCCTCCATCCCTCCATCCCCCTTTTCCTCCTTTCCTCCATGCCTCCATCCATACCCCCACCCTTCCATCCCTCTGCCTCCCCCATCCCCACAGCAGCATTGGGAAAGGTTGGCGGAGTGGGGCTATTTTTGGGAGCGTCTCCCTGGCAACGGCTGCCACCACCGTCTGTGGTGGCTTTTCCATAGGTGCTAAAATATTCCACGCTTCTTATTAAAGACGGTGCTGGTGGAGACGGGCGGGGGTGGCGAGTGTGAGCCACCCCGCTGCTGGGGCCGGCGGGCCTGGGGCGGCCGGGGCAGGGCACCCTGGGGGCACAAGGACAGCGAGGGGCTGGTGGCATCCTTGATGCAGCATCCCCATGTCCCTCCTGATGGCCCTGGCCGTGCCAGCTGCCTCTTGGCCATTCCAGGATGCCACGGCGTGCACAAGATACGGCTGGTCATCCTCTGGCTGCCCAGGTGGAAGGAAACTTGGCAAGGTCTCCTGGGGAGCTGGTGATGAGGAGTGAAAGGCAGAGGAGGGAGAAACCCAACCTGAAGCCAAGGGGGCTGCAGGGGTGAGTGGGTGCCTGATGACTTCACCCACCCAGGGAAGGAGCAAGATGCCTCAGCAGCATCTTCATCCCTTTACTGCACAGAGGTGAAAGGCTGGTTGTGGTGCCAGAGGGCTGGTGCGCTTTCTGGCAGGCACCCCTGCAGATCCCAGACAGTAGCTGTTGAGATGCAGCCCCACAAGCCCTGGGGATGGATCTTTTGAGAAATCAAGTCCCCTCCCTGAACCTGAACTGGTCCCCGTAGGGATGGCTGCGGAGGGGATGGAGAGAGCAGGCTGGCCCTGCTCCATCTGGGTGTCACAGCTCCCTGGGACCCCCAGCTCAAGCAGTGGGGAGCAGCTGTGGTTGTGCTGGGGCCAGCTGGTCAGTGCAGGAGGCTGCCACGCTCCCCATTTTCTGCTGCTCACCTGCATGGAGAGTGGCTAAAAATCCCCTCTGCTCCCTCTGGGGTGGCTTTCCCAGATGAGAGCGGGCTGCCCTCCCCGCAGCGGTGCTCACTGATGCTGGTGGGGGACAGCCGTCCCTGCAGCATGTTGTGCCAGGGGGCATCCACCTGCCAGGGGATCTTGGATGATTTTGGGAGGGAGGGTCATGATTGCTGCAGGATCCCGACCCAGAGGACAGCCAAAAAGT